CCAACTATCATAACAGACGAACATTCTCATTACTCCCTCGAGAAGAGCCTGCATTGCGGACTTTGGTCTTTCCTCCATAACCGATGCAATGTCTCTGCGATTCACGCATTCTACGCACAGTGTTGGAGCAGGCACTGCACGGTATCAGGCACCGGAATTGCTCTTGGGCGAAAGCTCAAACCATTTTGGCTCGGATGTGTACGCGTTTGCCTGCGTGTGTTACGAGGCACGTCAACCGCGGGCCATTTCTTGATGCTGAACATGACAAATATTCGAACAGATATTAACCGGAAACGCACCCTTCTTCGAACTCGCCAATGATATGGCGGTCGGTATCAAGGTGATTCGAGGACACCGCCCTTCAAGACCGGAAATGATATCCGATAGCCTTTGGACATTACTTGAAGACTGCTGGGCCCAAGATCCCGATAAACGACCGACCATGGCTGAAATAGTCCAGAGGCTTGTCAGCCCAGCGATTGGAGCTTCGAAAATCACATCCCAAATAGATTGGGACGAGACATACAGCTCTAGATTCCGCCGCTCGGTCCAGCAATGGCCTCTTCTTCAGTCAGTTCCCGAAATAGAGCGCAGAGTCTTCTTCGATCCTTCAAGTTGTTCAACCTGATCATTTGTAATATTATATTTGCTTCATCTTCGAAGGCTATAGTACGATAAACATATGTATACCACCTGAGACCGGGTGGTTGTGTTCCCGTGCTGAAATGTAATGGATGGCAAGGTTTTCCTGCGATATGGCGCATAAAAATAGCAGGTGAACAGGAGCATCTTCTTTGCCCGATATGTCCAATATGGAACAGTGCATATCATACATATGCCATCGAGTTTACAGCGCACATTTCAAGGTTGATTTGGGACTGGAATTGCATTTACCGGCTCAGGGCCGCATTGGTTTGGGTTTAGGAAACACCAATTTTGAATGTAACACGAAGATATTTGGAGACTTTGGAAAAAAAATGTCCCCGACACCAGAATCATCACCCGGCCCCAAATCGAACGGTGCTCAATATGCCATCTTGACTGTGAATATTTTTAACAAGAGGCAGTGTATCCCCGGATGTATATTCTAAGTCCTTCTTTATACACACCCCAAATTACACATATGATATAGTTGTCACTTGTCCCTCATCATCCATGATCGCAACCAGTCCTAGGGAATCATCAAGGACAATATCTCTGCAAGAGAACAACGTCACATCTCCGGTGTCCAGTTTGCGAAATGTTGTGTGCGGCACCGGAAGTGGACGGAAGTATACCAGTCCCAAGTATGGTTCAAGATAGGGCTCCTCCTGTCTGACCAAGAAGAGAACGTGGGTGCCTGAGGCACCCACTGCCACCATTGAAATGTGGTCAGGGTGTTGGTAGAAACAACCTGGCCCAAACTCTATATTGTCTGAGTTGCGATCTGCATGTCCGGGCCAGAAATGAATCGAATGGGGTTTTGTGTCTCCGACTAGAGAAGTGATGGCAAAAATTCCATAATGGGGCGCGAACATACGGGGGTAAATTGTCCCGCTGAAACCAAGGTGATATGCGGGAACCTCTGACGTGTTGGATACACCGAGTGTCGTTGTATTGGGGCCAGGATGATGAGATGGAATCTGTTGAATCTGGGAGGCCGAGAGAGGAGGCAATGGAAGGCTCCGTACTGTAGGGCTAGAACTACTCTCGCGGGCGAAAAATAGATAAAGGGTTTGTCCAAAGGCTAGACATGGCGGCATCATCTACGAATGCTCAATACGGTGAATTTCAACCTATGAGATTTTCTCACCCGACTACCCAAGATATGTCTTGGGATGGCACGTATGAAGGCATCCGGGGTACTCTGTACTGCGGCATCTGCATTCATAGACCAGGTCACGATATTCGACGGTGTGGAGAATCCCACAACTTGACGGTTAATAAATAGGCGGGGGACTGGACGCCACCTGGTGGTCGTTGGAGAGATAACTTGGGAAATGGAAATGTGAGCTCGATCACGGAAATCGATGCAGATGACCGCCAGACGCATGAGATCCCCCGGGGGCTCGCTGCAACATAACATCAGCTAACGCTGGGGACACATCAGGGCAGTGGAAGTACATACTTGATCCACGCCCCGATGAGTGCTTTCCCCGCGATTTCCGTACAGAGTACACGTGGCTGAATATGAAACCAGTCCTCTTCAAGTTGATTATTCAAATGCGCTACCCGCTGCGAGGTAAGAGTGTCCCAGCAACTGACACTGCCTTTGTAGTTATAGGCCACGATGAGGTTCGCTCGTGGAATGAAGAGGATGCTAGCCCTGTGTTCCACGGAAAAATTGCCTATGTAGAAAGGACGTGGTTTCTCAGATCTGAAGTTTTTCATCAGGCGATCAACCCTCCGCACAATGTTCTGCAGTTCGGGGAGAGACAGCGTGTCGACCGAGTCCGCAGGTGACATGGGGAGAGGTTGTATTTCCACCTCTCTTATGCGGATTAGAGCATCAAGCCAAAGGGTCCTCTCGAACTGGAGTTCGCGGGTGATGCGGCAGAGCTTGGAAAACAAGTCAGGTATCGATTGGTCACCGCACAATTACTGACTTACCGAAAGGAGGCTGAGAAGATCGGCAACATCCAGCCGTTTGGCAAGTTCAAGAAGGATGTCTTGAGGAAATTCGGTGATGCTCAGCGACATGCACACTGCAAATCCCTAAATTTTGGGTGGTTGGAAGTTGGTTCCAACTGGTAAAGTATCGGATTAAGAATCAAATTTCCCGAAACTGAAAGCCTGAAACGCCGCGGGGTTGCCGTATATGGCAACACCGAAGTGTTTCAGCAGGTTTCAGCTCACCCGAAACGCAACGTATCAGATTGAACGGATACCTAATCCGATACTTTACGAGTTGGTACCAACTTCCAGCCGCCCAAAATTTAGGGAATATTTGCAGTGTGATGGTATGCGAGGTACGAGCACTCTGTCTATGAGAATGGTGCCAGGACTCAAGATGCTGTGGCCGTAAGCAATCATTTTGAGATATTTATCATGATTAAATCATGATCCTCGCTCAGCGATTGCCATTCCATCGGGGCAGTTGGAGTACGCACGATTCTGGGGCGATTCTGAATATTATGGGATTAAAAATCGTAAATTGTCCAGAATCACTCAAAATCGTTTCTGAATCATCTCCAGAGGCGATTCGACGATTCTGAACGATTCACGATTCATGGTGATTCTCCCCCCAATTTGATCGGCCCAGAATCGGCACATAATCCTCCCCGAATCGTTGAGCATAATCACCGCTGAATCCCCTACTCTGACTGCCCCTATTGGAGCTGGTACTGGTTCTCCCTGATTTTAAATTATTCAAACCAGGGAAAGAAAAGAATACAAAATCACCCGGCCCCGAGCCGAACTCTCCTGCAATATTTCGATATCCTGTTCCTTTTGTGTCTGAAGATCAGCAGGTCCATGTGCCATCGGATTCAGGATGGTTTACGGTGTATGGGCATTTGGGACACTGCGAGAGCCCAAACTTTCTTGCCATTGACAGAGAACGGAATCAAGGGCCCAACCCAGCTCAGCAGGACCCCAAATTGAACAAAAACCTCATCTTGACTAAGTTAGCGTCATTTAAAACCCTAAGATGAGCGCACGCAATATGCCATCATGTGGTTGACTTTACAGCCTATATACAGTCAAACAATCCAAATTTTGGATCCGGCTCTGGAGGATTGACGTTGATATTGAACATGGGAGACCTGCTCACTGCATTGTAGCGGCGCGCTATCAGTCAGTCGCTCGTTGTGGAGTCGGGCCGAATAGATGGACAAGTATTTTTTTTTACAAAAATCTCGCATTCACTGGACTCATCACCCGACCTCGAGTCGAACGGGCTCCTGCAATATCACTAGGGCTCCAGCCTGTCCGTTAAACGGGACGGGTATACCCGTCCGTCAGAGCGCTGTTGGGAGGCTAGAAACGGACGGGTCCCGTCCGTCCCGTCCGTCACGGCCGTTTAACGGGTTACACCCGTCCGTCATTAACGGCCGTTTTGGGCCGGGTTGACGGGTCTTAGCACTGCCAGTAGCAGACACAAATTGCAACAAGCAGATAGGTCTAAAAATATTTCCAATCTTCCCCGGCTGTCTTCTTAAGTGCCTCCCGCACCACACGTAACCGAGATTTGATGAACATCAAGGTTTGCATAGTCTCCTCGCGCGATGAAGCCTAATTGTGTTGCGAAGCCGGAGAAATGCGCTCAACAGTAACGGCTGAGTGTTTAAAAATGGGATCAGCAGGGAAGGGATAAATTTGAGATAGGAATACACTTCCTGGTGTGCTTGGAAATCCCCGTCGAACCCGTCAAACGGGCGGGAATTTAACGGGTCAACCCGTCCCCTACCCACCCCGTTTCAGTGTCGCCTCTCAGCCCCCGACGGACGGGTTCCGCCCATCAACCCGTCGAAAACGGGCACGGGTTGGAGCCCTAAATATCACCTCAGGTTCAGGCTCAATTCGCAAGATGGGGATACACCACCGGGTGGGTCAACTACCCTCAGTCCAGGGTCGCTTCTATGTATTTATAATTTGGGTGGTAAATTAAACAACCTCCAAGAACGCGAAGTCAACAAAGGTAGGAGGTGGCGGTGCTCCTGACTTTGTGTGAGTTGTGAGGCGCGTGATCGTGTTCTGATCTCGACCACCATGGGCATATGCACTAATGCCAAACTAATGCACGATTCGATGCGGACCTGCGGAAGACACGGCTTGGGATCCCGGGATTCGCGGGACTTGGACTTGGACTTGGACTTGGACTTGGGATATCCGGCACGGCGCTGACTCTTACTGGGCACCCGGGGTGAATTTGGATCTACTTGCTTGGCTCCGAGTTCGGGATCTGTGTACCGCAAATCCTCGACTATTCAGGCCAACAGTTAAAATTAAAAAAAATTAAAAATAAAAAACCATTGTTTAATTGGTCTGAAGTTAGCCCTGGGTACTTCTGGATCTATCATGCCCTCGTAGATCAACGGTAGATCGCCACATCGAATAGCCAAACAGCATAAGGGTTGAGTGGGGCGTGTGGGTTCGATTCCCGCCGGGGGCATACCTGTGATTTGATTATTTTTTTCTTGTTCTGAGGTGACATTTTTTGAGCGCTGCTTCTCACTTAGAATCCTGGAGCTCGAGGGAAAGCAAAGTGTCTCCCCGTCGGCGGGTGTATGCCAGTGGTGTATGATGCATGTCAAGACTCAAGTTACTTGGCTGCTTGCGCTTGACTTTCAAGTTACTTGGCTGCCTGTTCTTGACCTTTGTCTTGTCTTCTGCGACATCGGCTCTCTCGAGCTTCCTTGGTCCCCGCCATTCGTCGCGTCGCGGTTTCCAAACTATTGAGCGTCGAGCGATGGAGCGGAGAACCGAGGTTTACGTGGGTCCTGGACTCCTGGACTCCTGGGGCCGCGTCCATTCGTATTCGATAGGTATCACAGTCATGATTTGCTCGGCGGTTGCCAGTGGAGCTGCTGGGCAGAATGATCACCGTCGGAGGACAGATGTACGACGGATTCGCGTGTTTTATGACTCTTGAAAACTGACTGTGACTGTATCACGGAGTACCTGCTACCCGTTGCCAGTGCTTCAGATGGCCGCCGTTGGTGTCCAACTTGAGATATCTCCGCCAATAGCACTGCTCTCCCCTCCTTCCCCCCTCCAAAAAAAATGTACCTGCACCCAAATAATAAATAAATAAATATCCTCGTGTACGACGCGTGTAAGTTACGCGCTGTCCAACGTTTGTGTCCGTCTGAAGTGATCAGAACGACGGACATGGCTTGGACCCGTCGGGGCACTTTGACCAAAAAAGGAAATGAGCGGTGATCTGTGACCTAACCGGCGGCTGGTCCAATATAGACTCGCTTGACGACTGCGCCTAGACAATCTCTCTTCAACCCGTACCACCATCATCAACACCAGAAAGTATGAGCTTCCTCAAGAAATTAGAGACCTTCGCTAGCCACGCGCGCGACGAGGCTATTGGTGTGTTCTCCCGCTTTACCCCCTTCTTCCTCGTTCTATTTTTTGAAGTAAGCATCGACTAACTTTATCTCACTTTTGTACAGGTATTTGGAATCCCAATCGTACGTCCTTTCAAGGTTACAGAGAAAGCAAGAAGAGTTAACGTGTGGTGTAGGCCGCCACGACGACCCCGAGGAGAAACGGCAGGACGAGATCCGCGCAGAGATCAACGCGGGGCATCGATTCAATAGCTTTGCGACTGAGCGCGAGGGGAATTTCGTTAAATGGTGCGTCCAACCCCATAATCCCCTGCAATCTTCAATCGTTGCGAGTGAATTGCGCGGACTGACTTGTGCGATTCAGGCACATCGACGGGCACGACTACTTCTGGGCGCTGTCAGAGATGCTCGACAATGCGCGCGAGGCGATCTTTATCCAGGTCAGTCTGCGTGTCTTGTCTTGCCTTTCATCGACGTGGCGAGCGCTCGGATGCCGCCCGCCAATGCTAACTCCTAATCAATACCCGAATGCTAACCTCGCCCCGTAGGATTGGTGGCTCACGCCCGAGCTCTACCTCCGCCGCCCGCCCGCGTACCACCCCGAGTGGCGCCTCGACAGGCTGCTCAAGCGCAAGGCCGAGGAAGGGGTCCAGGTTCATGTCTTTTCGCTTCGTTCCTTTCTGCTTCACTCCCGTTGTCGCACTTGTCGTGTCGTCGTGATTCGAGATGTGCGCGGGACACTTTCTTTGGGAGGCAGAGACTCGACCTCCCTCCCTCCTTCTCTCCATCCATCCTTGAAGTTACAGGAAAGCTACTGACACTCCCCTCTTCGCAGATCCACATAATCGTCTACAAAGAAGTCACGCAGACCATGTCCATGAGCAGCAAGCACACCAAGAACTGGCTCGAGTCGCTCCACCCGAACATTACGTGCCTCAGGCATCCGGACCATATTGGCGCGAAGGGTGCGTTTTTTTTTGGATTTGGATTGAAACTTGGGTTTTTCTTGCTTCTTTGGGGGGAGGAGGGCGAGAACGTATTTGCGCTCTTGGGGAGGGCGTTCTGTGTATCTGTGCTCTTGGAGTGGAGTGGAGCTTGTCGTCGAGCCTTTGCCTCTGCCTTTGGAGGCGGAGGAGGAGTAGGAGGATATTTGGTCGAATCCGCCTTCCCCGCCTTTTCGCTCTTCGCCCTTCCCTTCCCACCCCTTCCCTCCCTCTTATCTTGTGGGTGGACGAGAACGCATTTGCGCTCTTGCGAGGGCGTGCTGTATTGCGCTCTTGGAGTGGAGTGGAGCTTGTCGTCGAGCCTTTGCCTCTGCCTTTCGAGGTGGAGGAGGAGTATGAGGATATTTGGTCGAATCCGCCTTCCGTTCCTCGCTCACCCTCCCTGCTCCCTTCCCCGTCCCCGTCTCCCTACTTTTGTCTTCACACTCACTCTCTTCTCACTCCTCCCTCTCACTTCTCCCCCTTCTCCCCCCTTCCCTCCCTCTTATCTCTCCCCTCTCTTCCTTCACCCCTTCCCCCCTTTTTTCATTCTCATTCCTTTCGAAAAATCCCTTGCTGATCCAAACGCACCCTAGACACCGTCGAGTTCTGGTCGCACCACGAAAAGGTCGTCGTCGTCGACAACCACTACGCGTGCATCGGGGGGCTGGATATCTGCTTTGGGCGGTGGTGAGTCTTTTTTCATCTTCCTCTTTGTGTCGGTGTTCTTTTTCGGCTTGCGCTTCGTGTTGTGGTCTTCGTATTACGCCTCGTGTTACGGTCTTCCGCTTGCGCTTTTTCGGCTTTTCTTTGAGAGCAGGGCGGAGGACGGGGCGTACTCGACTCTTCGTATTATTGCGTGTTTCTATGATGGGACGGAGGACAGGGTGTTCTCAGATGCGGCGGTACTCCAGGGCGTACTGGTCCTCTCTACGGCGTCTTGGGCGCTGTATTGCTCCTGCTTTTGGCGTATGATTATTCATGTTCTTGGTCTTGGATCTCTCTCCTTCCTTCTTTCTCCCTCTTTGTCTTTTTTTCCCTTCCTTTAACTCATTTTTTAACTTCCTTTACCTCATTTTTAAAAACTACCTTTAACTGACGATAACGTTCGCAGGGACACCCACACGCATCAACTCGCGGACGTGCACCCCACAGACTTTTCGCTCACGCTCTTCCCTGGGCAGGATTATAATAACGCGAGGTGCGTTTTCGCTCTCCAGTTTCTTATATCTTTTGAGCTGACGTAAACGCAAAACAGGATCATGGACTTCCAGAACGTGTACAACTACGCGAGCAATGCGCTGAGCGAGCTGGAGAGTCCGCGGATGCCGTGGCATGATGTGCGTGGAGGTCTTTTCTTTTTTTATATACCTACGCATACGCGAGAGCGGGCTATCTCTTGCGCTTTTTGTTCGTGGGACGCGATTTGTGTCTGACGACGCACCCTCGTGTTCCTAAACGAAATGCTGACGACTTCAAAGGTCCACATGACGCTCACGGGCCCCGTCGTGCTCGACATCGTGCAGCACTTTACGGAGCGCTGGAACGAGATCAAGAAGAGGAAGTATAAGGATATTGCGTGCGTTTTCTTTTTTTTTTTCTGTTTGTTTGCTCTTTCGCCTTTCCTCCCCTCTTGCCCTTCGTCTCCAAACTCGGGGATGAGGCCGACTCCCGCCACGAAAGGGCTGGAGACGCGCGGACGGTGTGCGCAGGCCGACGCTAGGAGGCTATGGGGCGGAGGTGGAGGCGGAGGCGGAGGTGGGAGCTTGAGTACCAGCGCGAGCTCGAGGCCGACGGCGTCAAGCCTAAGCGGATGGCGAGCTCGACCCATAGGTCGAGCCAGACGCTGACGCCGAGCCCGGGCGCGCTCCCCCCACCCTCTTCACCTTCCTCTCCGCTTTCTTCTTTTTGCAGTATTCGCTGACACCGCCCCTCTTCCCCAGCAAAGTCATCTGGCTCGCGCTCCCGCACAACGTCCAGGCGGGCCCGAACGAGGCCGTCGTCCGTGCGTCCACCCTCTATCTATCGATCTAAAGTCCCAATCACTCACTGACCTACGTACGCACGCACAGGCCACCCCCACCGCGAGACCTGGCACGCGGCGGGCCACCGCTATAAGCAGCGCTGGCTCGGGTACCCCGCCGACGACGAGGAGCCCGAGCCGGAGTACGCCGAGCGGCAGAATCCGGGGATGCGCGTGCAGGTTGTGCGGAGCGTGAGCGATTGGAGCCATGGGGTGTTGACGGAGCATAGTATTCAGAATGCATGTGAGTGGGCGGTTTTCGCTGCTTTTAGGAGGGGGAGTTTGTGCTGCTTATCAGCCTTCGCCCTCGAGAGGGAGGGAGAGATACGAAACTACCCCCTCCCCCGCACTGTACACGAGACAAGGAAGGAGCTGACTTGTTTCTGCAGACATCAAGCTCATCAGTGAGGCGGAGCACTTTATCTACATCGGTGCGTTTCCCTCCTCCTTCCCTCCTCCTCCCCTCTTCCTTCGCTCGACCATCCATGCTGACGTGGGTTTGCGCTGCAGAGAACCAGTTCTTCATCTCAGCGACGTACGACAAGGACGAGGTGAAGAACCAGATTGCGGCCGCGCTAGTGGAGCGCATTGTGCGTGCTGCGCAGAATGACCAGAAGTTCCAGGTGAGCTCGCTTGCTCTCTACCTTGCCGTGCACGGGTCCCCACCTCCCCTCTCCCTCCCGCGAGAAAACGCATGCATTGGACTCACGCCACCCCGCAGGTCATTGTCGTCATCCCTGAGGTCCCTGGGTTCGCGGGAAGCATCAAGGACGAGGGTTCGCTGAAGATCATCATGGCGGCCCAGTACCGCACGATCAATCGTGGTGGGCGGAGTATTTATGAGGAGGTTCGGAAGGCTGGGTTCGAGCCGTGCGTGTTTCTTTCTACCACTCTTTGAGTTCCAGAGACGCTGACGGGTGCACGACAGCCTCGACTTCATCCGCTTCTACCATCTGCGCGCTTACGACCGCATCAATGCGCCGCTGTGTGCGTGCTCGTTCCCTCTCCGTTCAAAGCAAATGTTGATCAATTCGGTTTTTATAGCGACGTACATCCAGGAGATTGAGCAGAAGGGCGGGGTCAAGTA